TGCAAAATATATTGCCTTAGAACAAAACAACTAAATATTTATATTTGAATACGCATATAAATCATATATACATACATATAATTGTTTGTGTTAAATATTAATCATATAAACATACATATATTTATGTAAAGTTTGTACAAAAAAAATTGTACAAACTCATACAAACATATACATGTATATATATATATATATATATATATATATATATATATATATATAGTATATATATATATATATATATATATATATATATATATATATATAAATATATAAATATATATATATATATATATAAATATATATATATATATATATATACATATATATATATATATATATATATATATATATATATATATATATATATATATATATATATATATATATATATATATATATATATATATATATATATATATATATATATATATATATATATATATATATATTAAAAGTCATTTCTTGTTATACGATATGTTTATAAATATATAAATTGATCTCAATAAAAAGGCAGCGTGTAATTTTTTTTTAAATATATTTTGATATAGTAATATATTAATGATATTTTGCTGACCTATTGGGGTCAGCGTCATCATGTAATTGATGACGCTGACCACAAAATTATATCTATCTATCAATATATATATAATATATATATATATATATATATATATATATATATATATATATATATATATATATATATATATATATATATATATATATATATATATATATATATATATATATTAGATCTAGTTGGTTGTTTGATTTACCTATTTCAATCTTTATAAAACTGTAATAAGCTGCAATTGCAGCTTCATTTAAAATGTTTGGTTTGGAAATCATTTTCATCTAACTTCGCAACATGCTTTCTAAACTGTTAGATAAAAATGCAACCGCAGGTCTGTCTGTTTAAAATAGAACTAAAAATCACTTTAATTTTTTAGCAAGTTCTTTAAAAAACTGCATTCGCAAAGGTACAAAATTGTGAAGATGATGATCTACCAGAACTTCATAGACCTTATTTTCAGGACGTCTGCTTTTGCATAGTGATTCCCAATATTTTATAATTTTAACCATGTTTGGCCATACAATAATGCCTCTAGAAGCCACACCTTCATCTTCTACCCAGCAAGTTGGGTAGAAACTATGAAACAATAAAATCCAAAAATTAAAATGCTGAAATGCCCTTAACTTATATATAAGTATAAAAGATAAGCTCCCACTTTTGGGAATTTATTGCTGTCTGTAGAGCACTATGATCAATGTGCAAACTGCAACTGCCCAAATTAACTATACCATAAAATCATTTTTCCTGTCTATGTTTATCTAACATTTTTAGAACCTCCCGATTAACATTAGGACCATCCATTGATACTTAAGCTAGTTTTCCAAGATCTTTGTTGCTTCAATGAGTTTGTCAAATAAATTCTGTGAATTAGGGCGTCTGAGGAACTAAGAATCAATATATCTAGCTTTTACAACACCAGAATTTGAACCCCAGTATCTAACTCCACAGTCCATTTGTTCATTTTTAAAGATTACATTCATACTCTCATCATATGACAAAACAAAGATGAGTGATGCTCTGATTGCAAATATAAGTTGCTCTCGATAGTATGGTGCTAAACCAAAATTTATGAGGTAGCCACATTTTGTTTTGCTTAATGCAAACTTTGATGCTATTGTACTATCAGAGAACATAAATTTAAATATTTCATTTAAATTTAAGCACAATCTTAAAAAAAGTGTGACGTTACAACATTCAAGTTCTTTATTATTTCAGCCTTAGTAACCAGAGCTGGAGATTGAAGATTCTCTATAGTAGGTTGTGCCAGTTTGTCATTTAAAACATTTTTTGAATTAGGAAAATGTTCTTGTAAGTTAACAAAAGCAGTTATTGCCAGATATTTCTGTAGTAAAATCTAGGAACGAAATGCGTAAAAAAAAAATTAATATCCGGTAAAGTGCACAGCTAATCAATTTGCTCCAAGCATTCCAAAATTCAAAAACATTTTCAAAAAAAAAAAGTAAAAAATCAAATCAAATAACTAAAAAACTACCAGTAAAGAACATATCAGCTGCATTATGTGTTCTTGCATGCTCTTTATGCTTTTTACCAATTGCACGAGAATTTAATGCAGATACTCCCATGTTAGAAATATTAATATATTTTGACACCAATTACATCTTGCTTTCTTTGAAAAACATAATTTTACCCAAGAAGAATACTTTTTATTGTAAAGCCATTCTGTTTGGAAACGACAGTTCTTTGACTTGGGCGTTATGTTAATTATATTATATATTAATTGTTATATATATATTATTTGTATATTCTATTTTCTAAATATTTAGTAGAATTAATAATACAAATAGTAAAATTAATAAAAATATTTTCATCATACCAGAAAATACATAATATAATGAAAAGATGAAAACAAGAAAACGGAATATCGAACTCTATAAAAAAAAGTTCCAGGATTTCCAGGATTTTTTGTAAAAAGGGGTGTTTTTCCAGGACTTTTCCAGGATCAATAAAATTCCAGGACTTTTCCAGGATTTCAAGGATTTCCAGGACCGCTGGCCACCCTGAACTTCCACATAAAATAAAATTAGAAAAAAGAAAAAGAAAAACATTAATCGTTATTGTTTTCCTTTCTTCTTTCCTTTTCAATTTTCTATATATTTTGAAGTACAAACACCAAAGTGAATTTTGAAATATAAAAACCAAACAACAGTTCAAATCTCTCGAAAAAACATCGATTGCCTTGTTGACTTTTTATAATCAATTTCTAATTACACATACTTAATAATAAATTTTAGTTAAACTTATTCAGAATGCAAAATGTAGATCTACAACTATATACAAATATCTACAATTTGACATTTAAAGAATAGTTGATAATCATCAATTATGATAATCAGTTTAAATGCTTTCCTGAAAAATGATCGATTTGTGATATTTGAGGTTTTCATACCAAACTCTTAAGTTTACATTAACAGATCTCCAACAGCAACAACAAAATCACTTAAGTTATGTTTAATAAGGTTAAAATAGATTACATATTTACAAACATTATTAAATTTAAAATAAATTTTTTATTAATTATTATTTAAAAATAAATGTTTCAAACACTATTTTTTTTTAAATAATCACGATTCGAATTATTAAACTACAAGATTTTGTGCAGATTTGTAGTTTCCTATTTTGAAATTGTTATCAAAATATGAGAAGCAAACTGGCTGATTGGCTAAAATCTGCATTTTTTGAAAACTGAAAAGCATTAGATTTCACGATTTTTCATGTTTGGAGATAAAACATTACTAGTTACTCAATGCAACTAAGGCATGGTATACGTTTTTCCGAACAAAAATATAAGTTTTTTTAATTACAAAATATGTGAGTTTTTTTTCATCAAAAAGTATGACATATTTGGTATGCATAGAAAGATTATTTTAACCAATATTATAATCTAGTAAAAGTAATGCGACTATAACATGTTGTATTTATATTATATTTTTAATACTACCTAAATGAGTATGTTTAACAATGACATCACGTTAGATTCAGATCAACTATGGTAGTGTTAAATTTTCTACCAAAGTCTTTTAGCATAACTTTTAGTCCCATTCAAAAAACTGTTTTCGGTAATTGGTATCATTTTTTTAAATACTCGGGACTTATTCGGCCATCTTAAATAAATAACTAATTTCATTCAGAATGCGTAAACAATTAAAAAACAGAGGCGATAAACTTTATAAACAAATTACTTTAATTTTCAAACCCGTTTAGTTTTTATATAAGTACTCAGCGTAGTTAAGGAGAGATACGAACAATTTGCATTTCATAAAAACAAAATTTTACATTTCTAAATTTCAATTTTTTGTGTTTTCTGTTTATTTTCGACTATTACTGTTATTAGTTTTTAAAAAAATAGAATTTAAGCTTTTCCTATATAATTTATTTTTTTTATAAATCTTTTTTTAACCAAAGCATCAAGCAAAACAAAACTACCACTAAAAGTACCACTACCACTGTGGGGGCGTCATAAAAACAGCTGAAACAAATGTGTTAAGTATTTACATCACAAAAACGTTAAAATCGAAGTTTTTACATTAGTTTTTACTCATCGCAATTTACTACCATAATCTCTTCATTGTCGTTTGAATAAATTACTAAACAAAAACGCTTCAGTACATATATAATTTCTACCCCATAGTATTAAGCTGAAACTTCAAACTCGTAGATAATAAAATCACCGAATATTTGTAATGAAAATAAAACAATAAGCTTCATGATTTTTTTTAAAAAAAACAAGCAAATTAAAAGGCACACAAAATAAAATGGCATTTTTTGAAAGCGGCATTTTTTGAAAGGGACTAAACTCTTCGGATCACTATGAGTAGTAAAACATCAAATTGTTTGTTTGTTCGAATATCAATCCCACAACCACTAGCGTTTTTATACAATTACAACACAAAGTCGATACAAATAGCTATTGTGGCTTCAGTAATGTATTAAGATAAGTAACTTTTGTTATATATATATATATATATATATATATATATATATATATATATATATATATATATATATATATTACATAATTTATTCCAACTGCTTTTAAAAGTAACATATTTTTTTAAAATTATACCAAAACAAATGTATTAAATTGTAATTAGGTTCATAAATAAAACACAAGCACTTCAAGATATCTTTATAATTATATTGATATATCTCCGCATAAGTGTTATAACAGAAGGTTCGGTTGTTTGTAATATTTTGACATTATTTACGAATTCTTTGTTTGCATAAATTAAATACTAATAAATAAAAAGTTGTTCGGTTTGCCACTAACAACCAATCGGATTTGTTTAAAATTATCGGCTTTTTTTTTCACGAGTTTGTTTGTTTATTGCCTTTTTTGCATTGAGTAATTTTTCCTTTTTTAGAATGGTACTTTGGGAGTTAAAACACTTGAACATAATAAAACAAGTTTTAAAAGTGGTATTAAAACAAAGTGAATTCTAAATTCACACGTACCAGGCACATTATTACATAAATTCACAATTAAAATACAAATATTTCGATCTTGTATCGACATCTTTATGGTTATTTTGCTTTGCAATATATTGAAACCTTCATAAAAAATATCGCATACTAAATGAATTCTGATAAAAAATTTCTATAAAGATTAGAAATAAAGATTTAAAAAAATCTGTATAACGATTTACTTGAAGCTATTGAAACAAGCTTATAAAAAATAAATGATAAAGGGAGGAAAATAGACCTAGCGCGATCCGTTTAACGAGTCTCGAATGTTCAAAATAATATAAATTTGAAATAGAAATAATATTTTTACTAATTAAAACAGCTGCACGAGGTTTCGATGAAAAAACTAAAACATGTCCATCTCTCTGTCTTTTATCATGTCCATCTCTGTCCTCTCACATGTCCATTTCTGTCCTCTCACGTTGAGTTACTACATAAAAATAAGCCCAGTCAAAACGTCTACAAGAAAAAGCTTCTATATTCAAATCAAAAATTCACAAACAAAAATTCAAATTTTAGTTTTTGTGTAAACTGTGATTAAAAAGTTTTAAAAAATATATTGATTTAAAAATTTCTTGTAACCAAGTTAAACATTTTTCTCAAATGGAAAAAAACTCCCACGTTATTCTTTTTTCTTTGGATCAGATTTCTCATAACTTGATACTTTGTTCAAAAGAGACGTCAATGCAGCATTTACGTCGGGTATCTAAACAAAATACACACACAACTAAATTAAGATCATTTGCTACAAGTAAAAATAGAAGTAGAAAAAAAAAAGAGTTTAAAATTTATTTTAGTACTTGGTAATATTAAACAAAATTATATAACTATAAAACATCATGAAATCAAAAAATATATCACTCGAATAATATCTTTTTCTCTCTATATAATGTTTTAAAATCTTAAATTGAGATTATATTGCATTAAAATCAACTATATTTTAACACAGCAAAAAATTGTATGATTTCGTTTAATTCGCATGTGAATTTTTAATTAATTGATAAAAAATAATAAAAAATAACGGGTGATAAATAAAAAATTAGAAATTTCATATCGGGCTATAGTAAAACACGTTTAGAAAATGAAAATTATATTTATTTTAACTGCAGTTTATCATATTTTTTATCTTTAAGAAAAAAATAATGAACAGTTGAATATCAGTTCAACTTAGTTTTGTCATGATGTTGGAACAGGAGCATTGTACAGCATTTATATCGATTTGACGAATGCATCTTTTGATTTGGGTAATCAATTATTTGCAATTCTTGGCTCGCTAGTTGTTTATGTATACTAACAAACCCAAATATCCAAAGAAATCTTATATTGGGCGACACTGACGCGAGTTTGTTGGATTGCGGCTTTTCGGCACATATGGGATGTTTTGGCTTTCCAAGAAGACTTGTATTTTTTCGGCACAATGCGATCATGTTTTATCTGACCAAAACACATAATTGCGATTTGAATGTTTTTGAAGAAATGGAATCAACATTTTCTTCAAACATTATTCTGATGTATTTCTTGATTAATAGCAAAACCACTTGGCTTGAATCATGACTTGATAATTCCTCTCTCAGATATGGCAATGTACAACATCACTTTCTGCATAAACTTGTGTTTATGTTTGTATTTTACTTTAGGAGGTGTTGCAGAACTTTTCTCTGCATAATATTGATCATTTCCTGGAATATGCATTTTGCAGAGGGGGAAGTAACTTTCAGGTCATCCAGCGGCATTGAGATTTGTTGCTCAGTGTATTCCGGTGCTCTTGTTTTTTTCGGCAGATTATTCTTTGTTTTTTCAACGTTTTGCAGATATAAAAATGCGTACACTTGAACTTTTTTGCAACATCTTGTTGACTTATTGAACCATTGTTGTTGAAAGCAACGTAAAGCAAATGAAATCCCTTCTTGTTTATTATTTTAGCTGGTCTTCCACTGCCACTTAACAATGATTGGTTGTTAAGAATGGTAAAATACAGTAAATAGTTGAAACTGAAACATTTTTGATTTTAAAATGATTTATAGTAAACGTTTTTCCAAGATTTTCGTGTATTTGATAGAACTTTACAACGTGCTTGCGTAGTACGTCGTGTTTTGATGGCATTTTAAACAAAACTGAATTAGCTGATGCAAAACATAACATGATAAATTTGTAAACAGAGAGAGATAGTTTCACATAGGCATACTTTTCTTTTTTTGATTTTTGTGGATCGATATACGAGGGTTAGAATTATTCGCATTTTTTAGTTATCACTCGTTGCAGTTTTTTTTCTGAAACGCACTTTTTCCCGTATGTATCAACATACTTTAAAAATCATTGTTATACAAATATACAATAGCGTAATATAACAAAACAGTTTGTTTTAGCTTAAATATTCTACAATTTTAACTTCAATTATATATTACGCGTATTCAAATGTAACGCGCGGATAAACATGTATACAGCATTGTATGTGTTATAGCTTCGCATTAGCCTGTGGCAAGAAAAAAAAAATAAACAAGAACGCTATACTTTTTAATCGTAGTCATTTGACCTAAAAAGACTATTTAAAATTTAAGCTAAATTTAAAGTTTTAGGGCTGTAGGATAAACCAGGAGGGTCACCAGGAGGGATCCCACATCAATGGTCTACCAGATAGAGAGCTATTGGAAACAGTTTAAGATTCTAATATTTTTTAATATTATATTTAAAGAATTATATACACAAGTTCTCTTTAATTTAAATTTGTTTAACTCAAAATTAAATTTAAACTCTTAACATATAACTATTTTTGGCCAGGTACTTTTTATATCTGCAATCAGACAAAAGCTATAAATTCAAGCCTTACAAATAGAATATGGGTTGTTCGCAGGAAAACAATGGCTTTAATCTTGTTGGCCAAGGCATCAAATATGTTAGAAAGGACAGAAACAACTGTATGGTGTAAGAAGTTCAGAGGGTTTGGAAAAGAGTGAGGTGGTGCAAACCAGACTGGTTCAGCCATAATGTTATTATTAATTTTCTTCTTTGTTTCTATGTAATATTCATCATAAAAACATTTTATGTTTATTTATTTTATAATTTAAACCCATTCTTTATTATAGCAGTTCTAATTTTATTTAGGGATAAAGCAAGATGCAGAAAAAATACATAAATATTTGCAAAAAGCTTCGCAAGATGCAGAGGAAATACATAGATCTGCTTCAAGTGTCAAAAGTTTGATCAAAGAAAAAAGCATAATCAAATTAAAATTGGTTTTCAGAAGAATTTGACTTGCTTTTTAAAATATCCAGATCAGATTTCAAGCAGAGAATAAGCCAAGATAGGGATCATGAAAAGGTTCAAAAAGATTTAACCTTCCTGTAGGATCAGAGACGAGAGAGAAAATATGATTGTGATTACTCAGAGTCTAATTTTGTTTCTTGTTAACAGAATGAAAACAACAAGATTCTCTCAGAACATACAACTGAAAAACTTATTGAAACAACATCAGTTTGAGCCACAAGGTGCAATATAAATCATAGACTTCAATATGCTTACTAATATTACTAATGCAGCTAATGTTGAAACAAAAAATGTGAATATCTCTTTATTAACTCCTCATAAAAACTGATATGTAAGCATTGAGAAACAGAGTGATTTTATTAGAAATGTAATCATAGATAAGTTAAAAGGGAAAAGATTAGTATTGCACATTGACACTAAATTTGTGAAGCAAACTTGTGAGCAGAAGAACATCTTTGTTACAAATGATAGACTGGCATTAAATTTGTGAAGCAAACTTGTGAGCAGAAGAACATCTTTGTTACAAATGATAGACTGGCATTAAATTTGTGAAGCAAACTTGTGATCAGAAGAACATCTTTGTTACAAATGATAGACTGGCATTAAATTTGTGAAGCAAACTTGTGGGCAGAAGAACATCTTTGTTACAAATGACTGGCATTAAATTTGTGAAGCAAACTTGTGAGCAGAAGAACATCTTTGTTACAAATGATAGACTGGCATTAAATTTGTGAAGCAAACTTGTGAGCAGAAGAACATCTTTGTTACAAATGATAGACTGGCATTAAATTTGTGAAGCAAACTTGTGAGCAGAAGAACATCTTTGTTACAAATGATAGACTGGCATTAAATTTGTGAAGCAAACTTGTGAGCAGAAGAACATCTTTGTAACAAATGATAGACTGGCATTAAATTTGTGAAGCAAACTTGTGGGCAGAAAAACATCTTTGTTACAAATGACTGGCATTAAATTTGTGAAGCAAACTTGTGAGCAGAAGAACATCTTTGTTACAAATGATAGACTGGCATTAAATTTGTGAAGCAAACTTGTGAGCAGAAGAACATCTTTGTTACAAATGATAGACTGGCATTAAATTTGTGAAGCAAACTTATGAGCAGAAGAACATCTTTGTTTACAAATGACTGGCATTAAATTTGTGAAGCAAACTTATGAGCAGAAGAACATCTTTGTTTACAAATGACTGGCATTAAATTTGTAAAGCAAACTTGTGAGCAGAAGAACATCTTTGTTACAAATGATAGACTGGCATTAAATTTGTGAAGCAAACTTATGAGCAGAAGAACATCTTTGTTTACAAATGACTGGCATTAAATTTGTGAAGCAAACTTATGAGCAGAAGAACATCTTTGTTTACAAATGACTGGCATTAAATTTGTAAAGCAAACTTGTGAGCAGAAGAACATCTTTGTTACAAATGATAGACTGGCATTAAATTTGTGAAGCAAACTTATGAGCAGAAGAACATCTTTGTTTACAAATGACTGGCATTAAATTTGTGAAGCAAACTTATGAGCAGAAGAACATCTTTGTTTACAAATGACTGGCATTAAATTTGTGAAGCAAACTTGTGAGCAGAAGAACATCTTTGTTACAAATGACTGGCATTAAATTTGTGAAGTAAACTTGTGAGCAGAAGAACATCTTTGTTACAAATGACTGGCATTAAATTTGTGAAGCAAACTTGTGAGCAGAAGAACATCTTTGTTACAAATGACTGGCATTAAATTTGTGAAGCAAACTTGTGAGCAGAAGAACATCTTTGTTACAAATGACTGGCATTAAATTTGTGAAGCAAACTTGTGAGCAGAAGAACATCTTTGTTTACAAATGACTGGCATTAAATTTACGTATTCCAGATACTCCAGATTCAGAAGACATTTTTTTAGGTGTTCACATGATTGAAACCTATTACAAACATTAGATTCCTGTAGCCTGGTGCAAAACATGAGGCAAGATTTATGGCTGATGTACTATATATTTTAACAATTCAGATAACTAAAGTTACACACAAGATATTAACAATTGACGAGGAGGAAAAGTTTAATGATACCAGCTTAATTATAAGTGTTATGTATGCCTCATTGTTCCTAAAAAATAGCAACCTCTGCTCCAAAATGCAACTTAGAGGCATTAAAAGCAGAGATAAGAACCTTGACCTAAGTTTGGAGTTCTAGAACCCCAGTGTTCTGGAACCCTAATAATAAGGGTTCAGGAAACCCTATTGCAAAACAGGATTTAGAAATCATTGGGTTTCTAAATTCCTTAAACTGATTTTCTGAAACTAGAGCTCTGAAACTCTTTGTGTAAAAAATAGTTCGTAACCCCAAGAGGTTCCAGAGTATCTCTTAATCGGGTTTTTTCCAAACCCCAATTATTATCAGAAGTTCGGAAACTCCTTTTACACCTAGAGTAGATTAAGTAATGCTTATAATAAATTAGCTTACTCCACTAAGGTTTTCAAGTATCTAAGTAAAATTTAAAATATAAAGAAATAGTAAATGGTAACAAGTGACAATATTCTGCTTGTTTTTGATTCTCAACAACACGATTTCCTCTTTCTTTTGCAGTTGCTACTTTTAATCATGATTATGTCATCTTTTTTCAAAGTTTCATAGTTTTTTTTATCTTTTTCACAAGAACAACTCTCAGAAAAACAAACATCTTTTGATTATGGCAAGAACTTGACACAAAAAGGTATGATGCTAATGTCTGTTATTCTTAGATTACTAAACCTTGTACTTTACCTTAGAAATTAGTTTATCCAAAACACTCCAAGATAAAAAACTAGATCAATAAAATTTTTTTGAGCATAAAGAGAGTTAAAAAACTAAAAATTGTATTTTTTAATATAAAGATTTTATTGGTTAAAATATAATGAATACAACTAAAAAACTATTGGAGTAAGCATAAAATGAATGTAGAACCTTTTTTAACAAACCTCATAGTTCTGTGCTAAATAAACACCCATCACACCACCAACTGCATAACCACTCTATGTAAACAAAAAATAAATAAATACATAACTGGATACCATAAATTGGATAACCACTCTTCAATATAAAAAAATAACAAATAAAGGCCAGATCAATCACTACTACTAATTTCATACAATCAAAATAAAAAATAAATTTAAATTAGTTGCCCTAAAGAATCATTAAACTTGAAACTTTGGTCAAAAACAAAAAAAAGTCTAACTAAAATATCCCTCTAATCATTGTACCTTTTACAACTAACTTAAAGCTGACTGGGATTCTTTCTGTGATTTTCTTTGTGATGACCCTTGGGTAGAAATCTGAAAAAAAAACCTGCAGACAAATGTGCTTCTTATTTAACTGGAACCTTTTATTAGGCTCCATGATGACCTGAATTTAAGAAATTAAATAAGAAAAAATTAGGCTTTCACGACTTCTGGAGAATCTTTAACAGTATCTATAATAAGGGAAAATCTGTTATTCCATCTCTCTTGTATGGTTCAGATTGTGTCACCTCATCTAAAGACAAAGCTGAATTGTTTGCTAGAACTTCTCATCAATATCATCTTTTGATTCCACAAGTTGTGTTCTACCTGATATAGCCGACAAACAAGTTGATCCATTGCTTGACATTTGTATCACTTCAGCTTCTTTATCTAAAGTAATTCCCTGCTTAGACTCTTCTACAGCTAGTGGTCCAGACAACATAACTGTTATAGTCTTGCAGAAATGTTCTTCAGAGCTGCCGTCTATACTTTCAAATCTTGTTCTCCAGCCTGCTGGAAAGCGACATCTGTTATCTCTATTTTCAAAAACTCTGGAGAGTGATCTGTCTTCTTTTACTACTGTCCCATTAGTCTTCTTCCTTTCATAAGCAAGGTTTTTGAATCTTTAATTAACACTTAATCTCTCATCTTGAATCTAATAACTAACTTTCTGATCATCAATGTGGATTTTGATCTTTTTGTTCTACAGCACTCTTTAACAGTATCTATAATAAGGGCAAATCTGTTATTTCATCATTCTTGTGTGGTTCAGATTGCGTCACCTCACCTAAAGACAAAGCTGAATTGTTTTCTTTATATCCTGTAACTTCAGGGGTTTCTCACGGTCCTGGTCACGGTCACGTGACCAGGACCGTGGCCAGGACGTTGGCCTTTAATCTTTTTAATTCAGATTAACGATCTTTCAGAAATTCTCACATCTGATGATACTACTATTTATTCGCTGATGATACTACTAGTTCATCAGCGAATAAATAGTAGTATCAGCTAAATAGTAGTATCAGAACTAAGTAGAACTAAGTAGCATCAGCTACTTAGTTCTACTTAGTTCGCTGATGATACTACTATTTATTCTTGTCTTGATAAGAAGCCAACTCTCTCTGATTGCTAAAAGGGGGCATTTAAGCTTGAAAAGAATCTGAGCTACAGCATGGGACTCTCAGTGGCTGGTGAACTTTAACTCAGATAAAAACCATTTTTTTTCAGCTAATCATTATTGCAATAATCTAGATCTTCCTGTATTTATGAGCAGTAATATTCTTGATGAGTCTTTAACCCTTCCTACAATCTTCTTGGATTAACTCTTACTTCAATCTTTCTTGGAAACTATATATCAAATCAATTGCAAAATTAGCATCTGCTAAGGTTGCATCTCTTTATTGTGCTTGCCACTTTTTTACTCAGAATTTTATTCTTTATAAATTTTTATCTTTATAAATCTCAAGTTCTTGTATGGAATACTGTTGCCATATCTGGGGCAGATCTTCCAATGATTCCCTTTCTTTTTTAGACCAGGTGCAAAAACACATTGTAAACATAGCTCTTGCAGCCAACCTCAAACCATTGTCATACCGCCATAATGTTACTTCTCTTTCTCTTTTATATAAATACTATAATGGGCACTGCTCTAAAGGGCTAGTGTACTAAAATTCATTCTCGTGTCACTTGTCATTTAATTAAGTCTCATCACTTTACTGAGACTGTTCCTAAGTGCTCAAAGAATTCTTATTTGTCTAGTTTTTTTCCTTAAACATCAGTTCTTTGAAATTCGCTTCCTTTATCATGCTTTTCTGATTTTTATAATCTGCAATCTTTTAAGCCGTCTGTCAATTGTTATTTTGCTCTATAAGCTTCATTTTTTCACTTCCAGTAACCTTTATCTCTAATAATGGTTACTTGCAGCCTTGTTGGAAATGATGATGTTGAAAAAGAAAAAGAAAAAATTTTTGTGGAAGAACTTTTCAATCAAAAACATTTTAGTTTTTTTTGCTGGCTTCACATTAATGAGCTTCCGTTCTGTCATATTTTGAAAAAACTTGATGACAAGTTAAACAACTTGATGACTTAATAGCTGCTCTACACCATTCTTTAGACAAAGAAAGGTGTGGAGCAGTTAGCAACTTATTTTCTAAAGATAATCTTAAAAGAATCACTAAATTTATGTCAACTCCCTTTCTAAAGCCTTTTATTAACATTAGTGAATAATTTGTCAAGCAAATGAGCGATGACAGTTTAGTTGCAAGGAAATATTTGAATGAAATATTAAAAGGGAAGCTTGATTCTGAAGTAGCAGCTCTTAAATGCACTTTAAAATAAAATCTCAGACAAATGAATTTAAGTCTTTATCTTTATAAAATATTTATAAAACATCTTTAAATTAAATATTTTTGTTGAAATAGCTTCAACAAAATTTTTGCATACTATTCATAAACAATTTTATCATTCTAATCGACAAAATTAGTTAATTATTCTAATCGATTCATAAACTAGTTAATCATCCAAATCGACATTCTTTTTATTATCAATCTAAAAAATTAATTAAAAAAAAAAAACTTTTGTTAAAAAGCAATTTTAAAACTTAAAAAAATCATCTTTTCATAAATTTCTTATTTAATGGACATACATATAAAGGCATATATATATACAGCTATAAGTGCATTAGGCACTTTAGTATATTAGCATTTTTGTAACCGAATGAAAAGAATTAATTGATTTGAAATTATAAATAAATAAACAAAATAATTGAATGTAAAACGAACATAAAAGTGTAACTTAAATTAAATTGATAAAAATAATTTTCTTTTCTTTAACATAGTTGGGAATTTTTAAAAGTAAAAAAAAAAATTGTAAAATGGAACGTTTTGAATTCCGCATGAACCGTTTCAGAAGAATGTTTAAATATTCTGATTGAAAAATTTTTCAGCTTCTAGCGGGTCAGAATAACAACATCAGTTTTTGCCATGTCTAATAACATCCGCCCAACAACATCTGTAAATTTAATGAGGTATAATTACATCTGTCCAATAACATCTGAAATTTCATTGGTATCTAATAACATCTGTGCAAAAATAAATTAATATTACAGATGTAGTTACATTTATTAAATTATCAAAGGGTAATAACATCTGTGCAACTACATCTATGTATTCTACAGATGTAGTTATATTGTTTAAATTGTCAAAATGTAATAACATCTGTGCAACTACAGCTTTGGAATTAACAGATGTAGTTACATCCTTTAAATTATCAAAGTGGAATAACATCTGTGCAACTACATCTGTAGATTTTAAGATGAAGTTATGTTTAAGATGAATTAACTAATAATGCATTATTTTGTCCAGATGCAGTTACATAGGATTTTTTTCAGATGTAATTACAACTGGAAAAAAAAATTAACTAATAATGCATTATTTTAACCAGATGTAATTACAATTAAAAAAAATAAAAAATAAAAAATTCTTCTAGATGTTATTGGACTTGCAAAAAAATTACCAGATGTAGTTACAAAGATGTAACTAATCTTTTTTCTAAAGATGTTGTTAGAGGTCGTTAAATTTTCAGATGATATAAGACAGATGTTATTGGAGTAAAAGAAAAATACAGATGGTCTTGGACAAAAGTGTACAAATGATTTTGGATTACTCCACATATGTTGTTGGACAGTTGTAGTAATCTTTTACCCTTCTAGCTGCAATCGCTGCTTACCAAAGAAATTTTAAGAGTTATTGAAGTATTATGAAAAAGAAGTGAAAATAGTGTTTGCATCACAAAATTCAAAACTTGAGAAAATGGATATGTGTGTACATATCCACTCTTTAATATAATGATCAATCTTGCCAAAAGAATCATTCAATTTTTTAGATGAATCGTGAAAATCAATAAATACTTCAGATAATTTACTTGACCAAGAATTTTGAGAATTTACTAATCATAATTTTTCTGTACATAAGTTTAAAATAAAAACTTGAATTAAAATTGTTGCTTGTTGATAAATATTAAATTGACATGAGTTGTAAGAAGAAAAAAAATTGGTTAACCATTTTAACAATCAAAACAAACTTCTTCATGTAACTCTTTGCTCAAATCAATCAACCAATCAAATTATAACTAGTAATTTTGGAAACAAGTTTTAAACATTAAAAAAGAAGTTTATAAAAAAAGAAAACAAGAACATTCTAAGAATCCATAAAGACCAGTATATGATTCAGGTATAGATTTTGCAAATAACCTAAAAACTACACTTGAACTTGTGTTGTTCAAATCCTCTAATTCTCTCAAAACAATTTTGAATTATATGAGTTTTTAAATAATATAAGTTCAGGTTTTGTTGGCCAGAAGTTTCTTCAAGTAAAACTCTAACTCTATTAGAGTATTATTATCCATGCTATTATTTATCATTTCTTCAAATGGATGTTGATAATCAATAGAACTTGCCGTGCTTCTGCTGAGATTGATCCTGACCTGCAAAAACACTTAATGACTGTTTTCTCGGTCACCTCATTCAAAGTTGTTTTGTCATCATGGGTTTGAGAATTGGTTTAAAAATTTACTAGGGATCAATACTTAGCTTTCAATGACCTAACAAAAAAAAAACTTTTTATACATCTGCAATGTTTCCTTATGAAAGACAACTCATGTCATGAAAGAATAAAGGAAAAAATTATATATTTAGGTATATTGATATTCTTCGGCAGATTTCCTAATCACAATAATTTATGATTGAGAAATCTGCAAAC